CTTCGATACATAAGCAGCGCTCAGTGGATAACGTGCTACTCTAAACGCATCTGAATTGCCTTGCCAAAGATGCCTCGGACCTCGTCCGACCATGCCACTCCTGGCATGCAGCGACTGCTATGATACTTGAGCAGCGCTCAGTGGATTACGTGGCACTCCACGTTCAGCCCGATAGCCATGCTCGTTAATCCTATCGGATACACCTTCAGTGCTTGACAACTCGTCTACTCCGGTCCCCATCGCGTTGACCGTCCTGGTTCACTGCCCGCGCCTAAAGCATTTTTGCCTCCTAGCAGAGGTGGGTTGATTACTCACCAAGGAGACGAGCGCGTAGCGCCTAAGGACTTCGACCTCCAATCATTTCATGGCTCATGGTGTTCCAACCATGTCATACCACGGATAAGGCCATACCTTTAATCCAAGTCTAAGACTAAGCAGTATTCCACGCTATCAAAGTCAAGAAATTTGACACCGAGGTCAGCAGAACCATTTTGCATAGTGACATAAGTCTCCGTCGCTTAGCGAACAGTAACGATATAACTCAACCGCGCTTTCTGCACCTTACCATACAGCTGACTTCTTTCAATCGTGAAGCGTCAAGCATTATTGCCCGCCGCCTCGGAGTCGATCATGATCTTCCGTGGCATCTCAAATTCCTTCACGGTTGCATCCACGATCAGCAAACCTGCCTTGCATACACGTTCTGTGTTTAAGAGCACGGAGCTCTTCGGGGCTGGGCATTGCTGACGTCTACTTCCTTCAGGCTCAACAGAACTCTAGCTTCGCCCAGTTGGGCACTTCGCACCTGTCGTTTCCCCGCGACAAACCAAAAGTATGGTGAGAAACGGGACGTCGGTTCGATGAGCCTTGACGCGCCTTGCGCGAAGGGCAACCAATCCGAAGATGACGGATGTCTCTACAGACGAAACATCATCGGGTTTTCGAACGCTGCTCAACAACTTGGAGCTCTGCCTTCTCTAACAAAGCATAGCTGAGATCCATCGGCTCAGTCCCGCTGAACGAGCTACTAGAGTGTACATTCCAACCAAATCGGCTTAAAGTTGAACTCAGCATTAAATACCACATTCGGAAGCTGTCATTCTGGCCACGCCAATGCTAAGGCCCTCCATAAAGACGGTCACTGTGACCGCCTCGGTGATAGTCGGCTGCCATCCCGGCGATGAGAGTACGCAACGCTTGGACAAAGTCCACCAATTCCTTCTTGCCCTGTTGGGCAGCAAGGAAATGCGATCGCACGCGAGATTCCAAATGAGGCGGTGAAAACACTCGTAAAAGCTGACGCTTCAGCTCCGATCATGAGGGAAACGCCGACTCGACCAAATAATGCCCATTCTCGCGCTTGATTCCCGGGCTTGGAGACAGCTAGCGCCACGCGCTAACACTCGATCTGGAGCATGGTGGACGCCATCGCCATCTCAACCTCTCTCACACAGAGCAGGACATTTTCTCCATCCTTGTCTTTACACTCATCATGAGCGGCCTGGTTCGAGAAGAGTCATCCGTCGTCGACGGTGGAGTCATGGATGCCGCCGCCGCTGTTACCTACTGCTGAAGGTGCTCTAGGATAGAAATTTCAAAGTTTGGAAACGCTTCTAGGCGCGAATTGATTGCTTCAGGTCCTTGCGAAGCGAGTTGTTGCACGCACTCTGGACGAAGCAGAGAGATCAGCTTTTAAGCCCATTCTGCATTCCTTGGGGCAAAAAGGAGAACTTCTCCATCCTCACAGAGGGTCAGTCGTGACGATTAAGGTATGAATTGACTACATGTACTGCCAAGTGCAGTGGGGCTGCCGTAGCTCTTTTGCTTAGAGGAATCTTAGTCAAGGTGTGGCGATCTTCGTTTCATACCTAGAACATTTGAGTGTTGCGAAATGCAATCCGCTCACCCCAAGAGTAATCACAAGGCGAATAAACTCTTCCACTCAAGATGTAAGCTGTATTTCTTGGCTTTATCTGCGGCAAAACCGCTCATATCTCTATAGTTTTTTCTATCCACAGAGTAAAACCTAGTTAGATGTATAACTACTGGCTATTCCAGCCAGGTGCTGACTTGTCGTTTATGTATGTCTACACCATTGTGTGATCACACCATATTTTGTAATCGGCACAAATGTGTGATAAAATAATCTATTGTGACCAACACCATTGTGTGATCACACCATATTTTGTAATCCACACAAATGTGTGATAAAATAATCTATTGTGACCAACACCATTGTGTGATCACCCCATCTTGTGTGACCCCGTTTCAAGAACCTTCTCCGATTAACGATTTTTCCCACCTAGAAATATTTCTGAGCCTGTCGTTTGAGAACCTCAAATTTGAGGAGTTCAGTTGCACCGACTTGATGATTTTTCTCAGACGAGTTTGCTCAAGATACCTTCTTCCAGGAGCAGCTCATTGCTCCCGCTATTGTCTAATCGATAGTAAAATGATATTGATTTTTTTTTAAAATCAATTTAAGGATGGCGTACAACAAAGCAAAGTACCTTCGGAATCGAGAAATGATTCTGGCGGCGCAAAGGCAATATTACCGGCGCAATCGTGCTGAGAAGATCACCGCGCAGAATCGATAGGACGAGGAGCACAAAGAACAAACTTGAGTGATTTAAGCGAAAGAAATGCTATCAAAAATTCCAGCACAAGAGAAGAGAATGGCTGGGGATGAAGAGACAGAAGGGCAGATACCTCATCTCGCTAATCTCTCTTTACTTATAATACTAGAGCTGTATTAGTCAGCGTATATGCATTAGGATGCAAAGGACCCAGACGCCTAACTTCTTTTATATTTCCTTTTTTATGATGATGATATCACCACACAGTTGAACATATTACTCTTCAAAATAGAATATATAATAATTAAATAGCTAATATGTAGAAAAATAGTAAGGATACATCTGGACAGATAAAGGATAGACAAGGGGCAACTTTATGCCATATACTTGTTTAGAGCTATTCCGGATGCCATATAAAGTGATATTGGAAGTGAATGATACTGACACTTGAATGAATCTACATAATGACATCCATTCTGGAATACAGAAAGTGAAAAATTTATGATGAAGTTCCCAGCGAAGCTTCACTTAAACGACGATGGGACAAAGAGGGTTGTATGTATGCCGCCGGGTTGGCAGAACCGAGAAAAGAAGAAAACAATTGGACGTTCGAACCATTCAGACTGGAGCTCGAAGTCATATCACTGTCATTGACTGCGATATCCTGACCGACTGTAATCATTTGGATGGTACATGCATGAATGATGAATGTGAATGCATGAATTACAAAGATGGAAAGAGTTATTCATCGAGAATATTTAATACGACACCTATGCCATTCAGACAAATCCGGTGGTTGGCATTACCATTTCACGTACGATGACCGACTGAGGACTGCAGCTAACATAATTAGAGGGGCAGATATCAGAAATGGCAGTGGGTGCGCTTTTGCAGGAGACCGGTGTAGTGTAATGAACATAGTCAAATCCAAGCCATGCCTGAGGAATTGTTTGATGTCTTATGCAACCGACGGAGCCGACAACTGAGCTCAGTCAGAAATATTACGATTTGATCGAGCAATTGCCGTGGCGATGGTTCAACGACTGCGATATATGGATGAAGTCAGTTTATGCTTTGTACAGCAGCCACTGCTTTAATACCTGGAAGAAACTTCTCCACGACATATCTGATCATTATAACGAGGCCGAAATTAGTCACGCAACCATACACATCTGGCATCATCAATAAATAAGGTTGGCTATGGAAGTTGGTGTTCCTCGTATCTACCAATGCGGGAGTTAAAGTCTACTGAAAAGAAGATACTTGATGAGGAAAGTCGTATTGAAGGTATGAAAGCAGATATACTATCTCATCTCCAACAGTGGTTTTAGCGAATAGATAGGAGCGTAATCAAAGAGCTCAATAATATCAAGTACAACAATGTAATGATGAACGAAGACAACTATTCTGCTGAAGATTTGGCACTCTTACTTCGACAAACAGTCATAAGAGTAGAGAATGTACGCTTCACGTCAAAGGGATACTTGGAAACAATTTATGTAGAGTCAAGTAGATTCATACCGAGGACAATAAAACAAATGGATATACAGGTTTAACGTTATGCACACTGACAATGTTACTGTTTTAAAAATGAGCGAAATTTTTCACGCCGTAAAAAACACATCAATCCCAAAAAGATGATTTTTGAGCCATACGACGCACTTGCTGTAGATACTTCAATTGAGCGCAACAACGTCAATCTATTCACCAGACATTTGCAAAAATATGATGCGGATTTCGAGGTCAATGAGGGTATTGTATCTATATGGTTGAACCACTGGAAGCACAACAACGATGAGTCAGTGTATTCGTATTTGTTGAAAAAAATCTAGTAAACCCAATGGAGAAAACTAGAACAGAGATAACAATGGTGGAAGCGGAAAAATTCAGCTTTAGATATTTTCAACCGATATGTTCTCGGTACCAATCTGTAACAGGGTTGCACGTACCATTGTATGAAAGGGTGGGCCACACAAGATGGTGTGGCCGTACATAAGTGTTGATTACACAAGTTTGTGTAATCGCATAATGGTGTGGCTATACCGTAACAAGAAGCCACTACGTGTGCAGGACTGCCAGTAGTAATGCATATCAATTAGGTTTTACTATATTAATTTGGTATTACTATATGAATTTTTAAACCCTAAGGGTCTAGAAATTCGCAGCTCTGCCGCATCTGAAACAATCAAATACCGCTTCAGTTTCGAATGGAAGAGCGTCTTTACCTTGATTAAGGTTGTAAGAACTTGGAGATGGCGGATCGCGATCCGCTATACTCGTACTGGCTCTTGTAAAGCACGTGACCTCAGCTTAGCTTTCTCCAAGCAAAGAGGTTCGGCAGACCCGCTGCACAATCTGTCAATCATTACGCAACGTATTGATCCGATAACCAAAAAAATTAATTGCATACGCCAGTGAATGATTATGTGCGTTTTAGGTGATGCTGTGGATAACTCTGGGCGATCGATGATGAACAAAGTTCAGAGCCTGATTACCTCAGATTAGGTTCAAGCTGAATATAAAGAGAGGAGAAGAGCGGATAACATTAAGCGGCCTCTTCAACTATGTTGTTATCTCGAGTAACGATTTCGCATTTCTCATCAAAGAATCTGATCTACGATCATTGTGTCTTGAGGCAAACAATGATATGACTGGAAACATAGAGTTCTTTTACAAATAATGGAAAACCCTGGATAATGTAGAAGCTGAAAGCACATATTCCTTTGGTTGATCAGTAATGTTGTTGTCAATGATGATTGGTATCCACAGGAAAATCCCTTCACTTCATATAAGCCAACACATAAAGCAATCACAAGCATCAACTCCGACAACATTCTTACTATATTTATTGGGGGTTTTGAATAAAAAATGCACGAAATTGAGATGAAGACCGAACTGTTCCCTCAATGCATTACATTCTGCGAAACTAAGCAATATAAGAAACTGTCCACGAGATCGTTCAGTATTATTATTAAACCATACAAATATAAAGGAAAGCAATTTAAGGTGTATTCGCAAATAATCCTTGTGAAAACGCTGCTATGAAAAAAAACATGAAGTTTAAAAGCATTTACTGTTTTTTTCATTCAATTCCAAGCTAGCATACGTCCACAACTGATCATCTTGATAAACGTCGAACTGTGAATTCAAGATTTCATTCTCACTTTTTTTGTTGGATTATCTCTTTTCACGACGCGACGAAACGCACGAGAGATCGATGCGAAGGTCTTATACAAACCTTGAGAGTCACTTCCAAGAGGAGTAGCAAGCCAGTAAAAATATGGTCGTCGGCCTTTTAAAGCAAATGCTAGTTGTGATTTTTTCCCATGCCCGACGATCCTTCGACACAAATGAATGATAGTGGGTCATCGCCTTCGCTAAATAATTTGTCAATCGTGTCCAGAATCTGAGCACAGTAGTCATGGCATTTCTCTCGGATGAGTTGCCCTCGCTCTTGGTAATACATCAGCTTCTGTCTTTCGCGCTCCTTGAAACTAACTTCTTCGATTGCAATGGCGACTTCCGTATCACACTGTACTGCAACCATACAATTGGCGCTCCTAACAATCGTCCTTGTCGGCGAGCCACTTACGCTTTCACAAACAACCACCAACACGTGGGTTTGATCAGTTGATGGTTAACGCATTTTGTTTTTTTCAACAGCCAGTGCTGCAAACTCTTCGTCTCGTTCATCTTGTTCTTCCTCACAGTCATCATCTTGATGCATTCATTGCCGACTTTACCGTCTTCCAGGTCCTCTGCAGCTTGGTGGTCGTCTGGAAGCCACACCTCGCCCTTCCTGGCGAGAAACAGCTCCAGCTTGCTGTTAGGCAACCCAGACTCTGGATGCGCACGGGTTGCTTCCTTCAAATCATCCACATTCTCGCTCGCATCGATCTTCACAGAGAACGCACTCTCCTGCACGCCTACCACCGCGCAGAACAGCGTCAGCATGTTTCCTCTATCCATTTTCTTCCTAACTGCCGAGCGCTATGTTCCCCAGCTCTGACAACGCCCCTTCTCGATCTGACAACGCCCCCCGCCGCGAATGTCCTAACAACAAACATCTTCAAGTCAAACATCATGTGGGTTAGTAAATTGAATGATTGAAGTTGATTAAGAAAACAGAGTAGCTATCATTCACCCAATCACACAATTAGAGCTAGGGGCTAATTGGTTTGGATAACTTCCGCTACATCTAATTGGCTGAAATGAAACGATGAAATATGTAATGCAGGTGTACAAGGTGAATATATACTTTGCATACAGCGTCAAAATCAGCCAACACAGCGTCGTGCACACGCGTGATTGTGCGGCTAATCTGCTCTGTAAAAGCTCCCCATACTTGGGAGAGCAGCAGGCAATGCTTTGTTCTGCCCAAAACAAGTTAAGTCTCCACCTAAGTAAACCAGGAGGAGTTATGAAAATCCCAATCATTCGCATAACTACATAGCTACAAGCACAATACATTCACTTGGAAACTCACCTTCAAACCACCAGGTCCTTCCTTCCTATCCGTCATTTACAGCACTTTGCGCAGAAGTAGCGTATCGGGCCATCGATTCAGTTCAACAGGTTATGAGTTCATCACGACAGAATGAAAATGACATTCACAATGTGACGGACAAGAAGGAAGAGCTCACTCCAGCAGCAGTATTGCGTGGAATGCGGAAGATGACGCTACGGA